TAAAACCTCCTTACCAGCATCTGAGAGAAACTGGTTTTTCCAGCTGATCAATTTGTCTCTGACTGCTTTTAGAATAAACTCAAAGGACTCCTTTTTGGATCTACCAATACCTAGAGGCAGACCCAGGTACCTGGTAGATCTATGAGTTTTGATGTCACCCAACAGCAGACAAATAGCATTTTTCAGAGCAGCTGAGCAGTTCTTACTAAAGAAAATAGTGGACTTGCTAATGTTAACCTTCTGGCCAGTAAACAGCTTGTATTTGTGCAGCATGGGCATTAACACTCTAGCATTTTGCTCAGTGGCCTCACACAGTACAAGTGTGTCATCATCAAACATCAGATGAGAGACTGCAGGGCTGTTTTTTGCAATTTTTAACCCAGCAAAAGAGTCAGTTCTTTCCTTATGCATGAATAGTCTAGAGAGCACCTCTGAGATAATGATGAATATATATGGTGATAGCGGATCACCTTGTCTGATGCCTCTGGAAGCAGAGATGTAGCCCTTCAGCTCACTATTAATGTTGAAGGAAATAGTAGTAGAGGAGATGCAAGCCCAGATCCAATTCACAAAGGTACTATGGAAACCCATCTTCAGCATCACTTTCCTAACACTTTCCCATTCAATACGGTCAAAGGCTTTTTCCATGTCCAGCTTTAGCAACATAAAGTTCTTCTTGCCTGAAGTATGTCTGTTAAGGAAGTGAACACTTTCTTGGGCAATTATAATATTGTCCAGCAGCTGTCTACCAGGGATAAATGCTGCCTGATTTTCACAAATGCAAGAGGATAAGCAGGGTTTGATTCTGAGAGATAGAATTTTGGCTATGACTCTGTAGGCCACACAACATAAGCTGATAGGCCTGTACTGCTTCAAATTATCCGGGTTTGGGCATTTAGGGATTAATGAGATCACTGTATGATTCCAACTCTTCAAAATTCTCCCAGATTCAAAAAAAACTCAGTACTGCCTTGCAGAAGTCATCACAGATAATTTCCCAAAATTTTTGAAAGAAAATGGGGCTCATCCCATCGTAGCCAGGAGCTTTACCTGGGTCAAGACAAAACACAGCAGCTTTAATTTCCTCATGAGTAATAGGAGTAATTAGGGCATCATTAATATCAGAAGAGATAGATTCAGGAATGAGGTTCAGCAAATCTAAGTCCCCAACAGATCCCTCTATGGTGAAGAGGTCTTCATAGAATTTACAGACATGGAATTGAATCTCATCTTTGGTTTCCCAGAGCTGGTTGTGATCATCAAGAAGGCTAGAGATGTCATTCATTCTTCTTCTTTGCATAGTCACTGCATGAAAGTACTTGGTGTTAGAATCACCCTCCCTGAGCCACTGCAGCCTAGCCTTTTGAGCCCAGAAAGATTCCTCAGCCTTGGTAAGATTATGAAGCTCATTTCTCAACCTGTTCCATTCATCCCAATCTCTGTCATTACCAAGAATTCTCATAATGTCTAAGATTTCAGAGATAACCTTCTTCTGATTTATTTGATCTTGTCTGAAAGAAGAGCTCCATTTTAACAGAGCCACTCTAGTTGCCTTTATTTTTTCAGACACCTGGAACATGGGGGTACCTGTTTGAGAAGAAGACCAGCCTTCTTTGACAATATCTTTAATGTCAGCCCTTTTCAGCCATCTTTTATCAAAGAAAAATCTTTTTTCCTTCTTGCTTTGATGAAGAGGATTGTCATTTAAGAATAACAACCTGTGATCAGAGGCACTTCTGTAAATATTTTCCACAGCAACATGAGGATGATCAACCAGCCAGTCATAAGATACAAATATCTTGTCGATTTTTTCCTCTATGAATTCTTCAATCTCTCTATTATTTCCCCAAGTGAAGTTGTGGCCTAACAATTGAAGTTCATGCATTCCCATATGAGAAATAAACTCACAGAAGTCAACACAGTCCCTGGCATTTTTTATCTTCCCTCCTCTTTATTCACTGGCATCACATATTTCATTCCAGTCACCACCCAGAATCCAGTTATGCCCCCAGTTCTCCTTAGCATCTACCAAAAACTGTCATTGCCTCATTCTTTCTCTTCTGTCAGTGCTTGCATACATGAAGGTCACCCAAGTGTCTGCCTCCCTAGAATTACCAGCCACAAGGATTTGGATACTGAACTGGTTGCTGTGAATATGCTTGATAGTCAGCTCTTTTCTCCAAAAAACCAGAAGTCCCCCACTGAGCCCTTGGGGTTCAACTGAATGCCAACTATCTCTAAATCCAATCTTTTTACAAACTGATTTAATAAAATTATTTGTTTTTTTAGTTTCTGAGAGGAAAACAAAATCTGGATGGTGGAGTCTAGAAGACTCCTTAATTTGTGAAATTGTAGAGGGTCCACCCAACCCTCTACAATTCCATATCATTAGCTTCATTGATTCATTGGAGGCTACTCAAGGCTGGCCACCCCCACCTGTGTAGAGTCTGATTTGAGTTTCTTACCTCCTTGAGGATTCTGACTAACCACTTGACCTCCTTCTACATCATTAGGCAAAGCTCTCTTGCTCTTCTTAAGAGAAGTATTTGATTTTGGAGTGGAACTTCTCAAAGCTCTATTTGCCTGACTCACTGAAGTGATTGATTTTCTAGTCCACCCTTTTCTTTTTTTGATAGTAGGACTAGAGGCAGAAAGATGAGAAGCCGAGGGGAAAAGTTGGGAGTTCTCGGTTTCCATAGCTATGGCCATAATAGGGTGAGACTCACTGCCAGTAACCTCTGCAACACATACCTCTTTCCCTATAACTGATGCAATAGGATGTGAAATTGGGAATGTTACCTCATGATGAGTATTTGCAGTCACACTGATTTCTTTGCCACTCCCTTCTTGAATCCCACTACCAGCCGATTTATAATCAGCACCATCAACATGCTGATCTTGCCGAGCCTCCTGGCTTTGGCTTTGCGTACCAGAGGAAGGGCTATCAATATTCGAAGAAGAGTTGGATTTATATCCAAAAGGACCCTCAGCCGCTCGCAGCGAATCACCATATTGCCCTTCCTGAAGCGAACCATTATCTATATCTTCTATTTTCTTACTACAAGATCTCTCAAGATGCCCTATAATTCCACAGTAGTAGCAGACATTTACCAGCTTTTCATATTGGAAGATAGCCATAATTCGAGTATCGTGGAGTCTAAGATGAGCCACCCGAGGTAGAGGCTTAGAAGCATTAATAACAGCGAGGAGACGAAGAAAGCTACCTCTGCTACCTCCTGCCTTTACCACTGTAGCCGTTTTCACTTTCAGGAAGACTCTACCCACCTTTAATCCCACTTCGGTGCACAACCAATTGAAGGGTATGTTATTAACTTGGACCCATAGTTGAAGCTCAAAAAAACGTTGATGGTTCTCAGTCATACCCTCCTCCCATCCAGCCAAAATTAAATATTGATTTTCATAAACCCAGTGTGTACCTTTAAGAACCTTGGCTTTATCCTCCATACTCCCGAAAATGAACTGAAAAAAGTTGGTTTTCAATTCCTTGATCTCTAGCTGATTTTGGATTTGCCATATAGAACCCATAGCTCCGTGTATACCAATAAGACTAGCCTTTTGATCGCCGATGATTTTGCCGAACAGGCTCCGCTTGCATTCAGTGGCACTAATTTTGATATCCTCATCGCGAAGATCGATATTGTTAGCTTCGGACTCAGAAAGAGCTATATTTTGAAGGAGACTCCCCAAATCGTCAGTCGCCTTTGATGATGAAGAAGCCCCTATAACGTCGAACTCCATGAACCCTAAATCCACCGTTGCGACCAAATGCCGGGAATAGGAAAATTATACAGAGCGTCCAACCAGTGATGGAATTAAGCCTTTCCAAAGAACGGAATTCAGCCCTCCACACGAGAATTTGAGCTCCCCTCAAAGAGAATAGATCGCTCCCCTATGAGAGATTTTTTTTTTTTTTTTTTNNTTTTTTTTTTTTTTTGTATTGTGTTTATATTACTTTTTAGTATGATATTTTAGCTTGAAAGCATGCATATATGTTGAGAAAATATAATTGTCTAAAAGTTAAACCCGATTAACAACAATCTCATTGACATAAAAATATGAAATTTGAATGTAAAATTGTGTACATTTGTTAGTGGTATGACCATTGAACAAGCTAATACCAAAAAAAGTAATATAAAATTTGATGCGACTATTAGTCTTTCTTTTTTTTTTTTTGAAATAATAGAAATATTATATATCAAAACGCACAAATGTGCAAAATACAGCCCATAGCTGAGAAATACAACGACTGAATAAAGTGAAAGGACAAGTACGAGACCGCCTAGATTCGCAGCTAGCCAAACTAGAAACCAAAACAAGACTCAAACCCAACCAAAAACTACAGCACAAACAAAAAAACACAAAGCTCCCAATAGGATAATATGGAACGCTCCCCCCGGGAGAATACCCGACACATCTAACATAAAACAGGGGCCAACGGCCCAAACTAAAAACACCAAACGAGCAACAATACAGACCAAGTGGCCCAAACCAAAAACACAAACTGAGACGACACAAGCACGAGACAGAAAACCTAAACAAATATAAAAAATATATAAAATACTCTCAACATAATAAACTACAAAAAAAAAAATCATAATAACTACAAAAAAAAAAATATAAAATAAAATTTCAATTAAACAAAATACTCTCTTGCTACAATAAATTTTATGTGATTGTTAGTATATCCTCAACATAATAAACTAAAAAATATAATATATATAAACTAAATTTTCAATTAAAGAAAATAGTATCTTGCAATAAGCAAACTACATGTGTGCCAAAAATAAAACATTTGGAGTCCATCCACAAGAGTCAAGACTCCTCCATGGGACAAAAACCTAATCAAAAGGCCCACCACATTTCTCAATAACCCACTTTCACCTCATTTATAATATTATATTACCCTTCTAATTAAATCCTTCTCAAAATTATTCTTAAAAAAAAAAAAAATGGAATCACAAAAGAACTCAAATCAAGAAATGAAAAATTCCCCCAAACCAAGCAAAAGAAAATCTTGCAAGAACAATATTGCAAGGAGATTTTCAGATGAACAAATACAATCATTAGAGTCCATTTTCAAGATTGAGTCCAAGCTTGAGCCCAAAAAGAAGTTGCAATTAGCAACAGATCTTGGGCTTCAGCCTCGCCAGGTGGCCATCTGGTTTCAGAACAAAAGGGCCAGATGGAAATCCAAGCAAATTGAGCAAGAGTACAAGGACCTGAGAGCAAATTACGATAGTTTGTACGTAAAGTTTGACGACTTGAAGAGGGAAAAACAATCCTTGCTAATGCAGGTATTATCATGGATGGTTCTTATAATTAATTAGTTTTTACAACATTCTTTGTCCCGAGTACTTTTTATAGTCTTGCAAAAAAGTCCCCTGGCCTGTAGTTCAACTAAATTACCAGAAATCCTTGTGCATAGAGTTTTCAAAACTAAACGAGCTGCTCGTGAGCTGTTAAAAGATTATCAGGAGATCAGAGTTCGAGTTCAGCTTGGCTCGTTTACAGCTCTACGCGACGTTCATATCTTGTGTCTTTTGGCAACTAACAACCTTTTTTTTTATGTGTGTGTGTGTGTGTGTCTATTGAAAATTTTATGGTGACTAGAGTTGAAAAGTAGAGATCTTGAGTGATTACTTATGTGCTATTTTCTTACAGTTAGAGGAACTAAATGATCTAGTTAAGACTCTTGACAAGGTCGATTTGACTAACGAAGAAATGGATAAGGATGATGTCATCAAGCCGGACGATGATGATCGTGCAAAAAACGAGTCAAGGACTTTCGAGAAGACCGATGATCGAGAAATCTTTAGGTGGAGTGAAGAAGATGAGATTATGAGCCACTTAGAATCGCCCGAAAAATGGTGCGATTTTTCGAAGGGCGTGTTGTTCGATCAGTCTTCAGGCACGTCTAGTTGGTGGGAGAAGTAATTGCGGAAAACCCCTTTAGAATTAGCCTAATTACAAAAGGAACCCTGTTTGAAATTCTACAAATGTTTGCTCCTTAATTATATATGTTGAGAGGAAGGATATTTGAGGTGTATTTGTAATATTGATCAATAATGAGTTGTATTGTATATATACATAAAACATCAAGGGTACTCTTGTGATTCTTTCTTGAACTTATCTGTGCATGCATGCCGTAATGGTTAGGAGCAAAATTGCAAATTTCCAAAAGGTTTGGAAATAACTAGTATTTATAGGACCGAAACTGCAATTAAGTGTTCTTCTACCTCCCCTGTTTCTTATCAGCTATCAGAGCCATTAAACTTCAAGCTTGAAACATACAGAGATCGATTATAATATGGGGTTTTAATTTTAATTATTCATGATGTCACACAATAATAATTCATATATTCATTTTAAGTACGCACAAAGTTACAGTCCCATGTCACGATTCATACATCGTGCCCGAGCCTCTTATTCATTCACTATTATAAATTATTATCATTATTTTTTCAATCACATCTCCTTAATCACTCGGTAGCTTCGAGGCCGCGGGCCCATCAAGGAACCACGTCATGTCGGCCGAGGCCTCAAACTGCAGCTCCTTGCACGGGATCGAAGGCATTGGGCCCACAAACGGGCCTAGCGTCTCCCTAACAGCATCCGCAAGTTCCCCGCCGGTAACCACCATGGCAATGTAAGTGGCGGCGTTGATAACCGGGAAAGTGAACGTGATCCTTGGCGGCGGAGGCTTGGGAGAGTCGGTTATGAATGTGACCCAACGTTTCTTTTCATACCTTTGCGGGTGGCCCGGGAAAAGCGAGGCAATGTGGCCATCGGGCCCGATTCCGAGAAGCATTAGGTCGAAGATCGGGAAGCCGCCCGGGGCTTGGGGAAGGGTTCTTTCCTTGACGAGGTTCTTCAGGCACGACTCGTAGTCGACGGCCACGGCATCCGGGTCGGGCGTGTAATTGATCGGGTAGATGTTCTCGGCTGGGATTGGGACCTTAGTCAAAAAAGGATCACATAGTATAACTGTTAGGCGAGTCGATCTGTCATACTATTTCAAAATTCGAGGATTGAAAACTCTTGGAGTAAGAGTAAGTGTGACATTTCACAACAAAAGTAACTATATTTCATCTTCTCATTAATTTGTTAAGTGGATGTAAAATCAAAATCAAGACATTGAAATTAATATGTAATAGCTAAAAGAAAACTTTTAATAAAATAAAACCTTAGAAAGAAATCCATCCAATGCCAATTTGTAGTTGCTCCAAGAGCTATCAAGTGGATAAACCCTCTCATCCACCCAAAACACAAGCCATTTGGACCAATTCACACACCCCTTGTAAGTCTTCACCAGCTCCCTACAAATATTATTTATTCAACTAGTCTTCAAATTAGTTAACGTTCGTTCGTCCGTCCGTTTGTTCGTCGTGTTTAACTGGGATTTTATTCGAAAAAATGCACGAAAATCATACCTCATTGTGTGTATAAGTGTGCCTCCCGAGAGAACTACAGTTATATAGCCCTTCTGTCTTATGATTTTGTCCGAGAGGTCAGCAATGTATGAAGCTAGATTCACGGCTACTTCTTGCTCGGTTTTGAGCTTAATCACGTGCCGTTTCTTGTTCATCTGGTCCAAAGCCATTGATGCTTAATAGTAGAAAGATATATGTTAGATATAGATTTGTTGAGTAGCAAATAGTATGAGATCGTTGTACATTGCAACTCAGGCTATAAGGTGTGTTTATATAAGTGTGGTGCAAATATTCGTGTTGCTTTTTAGAGTTTTATTCTTGATTTCACATATATGCTATATTCCACCTTTTTTTTTTTGTAATATTTTTTTAACTGGGTAAAATGACACTCTCTTCCCTCTTATGGTGCGTTTCATCTGGTGGGATCAAAATCTCTTCTTTCGATTCGATAAATCAAA